GTCATTGAGTGATTGGCGCTTGTGTTATTTATTAATAATTATTTATTTAATAAAGTAGCCAGTAAGCGCCCCGGGTCATTAGTCGATAGGCCCTTGTGTTATTAATAATTATTTATTTAACAGAGTGGTCAGTAAGCACACCGGGTCATCAGGTGATGGATGCTTGTGTTATTGGACCTTATTTGAATCTTGCGCGTCACCTTCGGTACTATTTTTTTTTTTTATCTAGTGATTTCCCACGTCAGAGAGATTGGGTCCTAGAGAATTCCCAAATCTGGCCGGAACTATATCCCATCGCTGGCTCCCACCACGCACACTGTTTTCGGCAGCAGCACTGTACCGACTTTAGCTGTGACAGAATTTCTCCGTGTAGGAGCTCAGTGATGTTTCGAACTGCAGCAATACAACCACTCGTACTCCTATGGTACAAAGTTTACCTCTGTGTGATAAAACGATTAGGTCGACTGTGTCCGATTTAAGGCCCCGTCGTTCAAAGGCCTGCCTGATAGGAGCCCTGCCGTCAGGGAAAGCGACGTTAGTGGATGGTTGATTGTCCTGCAAGGAGATAAGAGAAGAGTAGAATCAGGCTTCCAAACAATGGGTTCCTCCAACAAGAGGCGCTTGAACTCCAGAAACCAAGACTGGGAAGGCCATAAAGGAATTACAAAAATTCCAGTTGCCTCTACCTCCCTTATCTTTTTGAGAGACCTGGCGATACAGGAAAAGGGTGGAAATGCATACCAAATTGATCCAGTCGAGGGAATCGTAAAAGCATTAATTGCTGAGGCCTCAGGGTCTCTATCCCAATAGCAGAAATTGGGGTATTTGCGGTTTACCCTAGTGGCGAAGAGATCTACGTCTGGCCTGCCGAATCTGTCTACAATGTCCTGAAACGCAAAATCAGGAAGCTCCCATTCTGTGTCCATATTAAGAATTCTTGAGCCCTCGTCCGCCGGATTTTTCTTGGATGCTATGTACTCGGCAAACACCTACATGCGCCTCTCAATGCACCAAAGCCAGAGTTCTTTGGTTAGGTCATGTAAATATGGATGCTTGATACCACCCATCTTATTGATGTATGCAAGAGCTGTAAGGTTATCGATACGAAGAAGGATGTTTTCATCGAAGGACGAGGAAGCGAAGCACTTTGAGCCGAAGAAGGCTGCCTTTATCTCTAAAAGGTTTATGTGAAGAGAACGTTCTGATTTTGACCAAAGGCCATGGGCAAAGAGTGTACCACAGGTGGCTTCCCACCCTGTGGTTGAGGCATCCAAGAAGATAGTCATATCAAAGAAAAAGTTTTTAATCTTGTTAACTGAAGATATTACCACTGAGTACCACCAGCGCAACTTCTCTATGGATCGAGACGAGAGAATGACTTTAAACCTCCTACAGTACCCTACCATTGAAAGATCTTCTTGTTTTTATAGTTTTAACTGTTTAGACTTGTGAAGTTGGCGCCCGTAAATATTAAATATTAATATTTTGCACCCATTCAGGGCTTAAACGATTCCTCCTTACTTACGAATTTATCCTCAATTTGAATTTTTATTTGCGGATCAATAGTTTGCGAGATATTTGCAAAATAAGAAGTCAAAAATGGGCGCGGCGCTGAAGTATAAAAAACTTTGTTTTAAGTGCTAAATTGGGTTAAAATCCAATTCTACCTGTACGATTCGATTTCTCCTCATTTGCGGATTACGGAGGTAAATAAATTAATGTAATTAAATGTCACAAAGTTTGTAAATAAAGAATTTAATTATTGAGTGAGAGAATCTAGTGACTTGTGTCTAGTGACTTTTGGTCCAGTGTTCCAACAGTTCCTGTTGTTTGGTACATGACGTTTCCTCCGTACAGCGGGCTCTACAAAATATTAATAAAAATAGAAAACTTTAGTGGGTATTAATCTGTTAATTATTAGTTATAAGTTATTCAGCCTTTGGGTCAATACACACACACACACACACACACACACACACAAACACACACACACATTTTTCGATGACTATGCAATCTAGAGTAAACCCATTTAATAAACATTTTTTTAAATTAAGCACTTGTAAATTGATTACTGGGGCTGTGTTTGCATTGGCTCCATTTGTAGTCTGTTAAGGTCACGTGATCATTTATGATAAGTGCGAGTGAGACGGTGACATCATGCTGTCTCCCTCGCACTTATGATAAATGATCACGTGACCGTAACAGACTTAATAACAAACAGAGCCTTAGGCGGACATAGGCTGTGTCACTTTTATCCGTTTTCACTGGTCGGTAACTTGATTTTCAATTCACCTGATTGATCATTTACGCGCGAAATTTGTATGCTTGAGCTGTTTTCTAAAACTTGTTCAAACAAAATTATTACTTGTGTGATTAGCTGTGGCTTGTCTTGTAATGATTGTAGCTGTACTGCTACTTGTTAGTTGTGTTGTTATTTGTTTCTTAAATACTGTTTCAACAAATATTAAAATTTCGCACGTAATAAATAAATATCAGTCCACAGTGTTTGCCACAATAGATTCCAGATATTAGATTCTTAAGATGAAAAATCTGTACCATATTGACGAATAAATTTTTCCTTGAGTTTGAAGTATGTAATGTATGTGTGTGTGTGTATGTATTGACTCAAAAGCTGAATAACATAACTAATAATTAATAGATTAATACCTACTAAAGTTTTCTATTTTGATTATTATTTTGTAGAATCCGCTGTACGGAGGAAACGACATGTACCGAACAACAGGAACGGAGCACTGGACCAAAAGTCACTAGACACAAGTCACTAGATTCTCTCACTCAATAATTAAATTCTTTATTTACAAACTTTGTGACATTTAATTACATTAATTTATTTACCTCCGTAATCCGCAAATGAGGAGAAATCGAATCGTACAGGTAGAATTGGATTTTAACCCAATTTAGCACTTAAAACAAAGTTTTTTATACTTCAGCGCCGCGCCCATTTTTGACTTCTTATTTTGCAAATATCTCGCAAACTATTGATCCGCAAATAAAAATTCAAATTGAGGATAAATTCGTAAGTAAGGAGGAATCGTTTAAGCCCTGAATGGGTGCAAAATATTAATATTTAATATTTACGGGCGCCAATTTCACAAATCTATAGGGACCCTATGGTTACTATGCAGCGTTCTCTCTCACACCAATAAAAACATCACCGGACAGGGTTATGTGGGTTTAGCGCTCTCTATTCTTATATCTCTATGCTCCTGCACCCCCACTCCCCCAGCCCAAGAAAGTATTAAAAAGAAAAAAAAAAAATTCAGTTAGAAAGAACAAAAAATGCACCCTCTGATTACACAGTTTGTTTAAATTGAACCCTCATAAATTTTGTAGAAAAAAATTATTAACAGTTACCAAGTTGTCTTGTTTTAAACCTCCGATATCTTTGGAAAACACTTCTTTTTCGATACAACGTTGGCTTATAAAAAATGAACCTTTTCTGATTTGAATTGAGCTTATCTTACATTTGCAAATATTAGCTTAGTTTTTTTATTAACAATTAATACATAATACTGGTCTAAAAGCTAACCTCATCTCTATCATGTATATCAACTGCACACAAGCCCCCAGAGCGCATGCGCAGTTGATAAACATGATAGAGATGAGGTTAGCTTTTAGACCAGTATTATGTATTAATTGTTAATAAAAAAACTAAGCTAATATTTGCAAATGTAAGATAAGCTCAATTCAAATCAGAAAAGGTTCATTTTTTATAAGCCAACGTTGTATCGAAAAAGAAGTGTTTTCCAAAGATATCGGAGGTTTAAAACAAGACAACTTGGTAACTGGTAATAATTTTTTTCTACAAAATTTATGAGGGTTCAATTTAAACAAACTGTGTAATCAGAGGGTGCATTTTTTGTTCTTTCTAACTGAATTTTTTTTTTTTCTTTTTAATACTTTCTTGGGCTGGGGGAGAGGGGGTTGCTCCTGCCTGTGCCCCAACGACCAACGACTTATACTCCGTGAGTGTGTGAGAGAGAAAGACTAACTGTTCTCGTCTGCCTTCTCTTTCTACACGAGCTTCACTGCCCCAGCAGCTAATAAGGGGTCTATTCTTTATGTCTATGGTTCAATATTTCATTATCGATATTTTACTGAAAACATCGATACCACGATACCACTGCTATCGAGTCAGTTAGTTGTCGCTGAAAAATATCGATATTTTGAGACGTAAATATCGATATCACGAAATTTCAATAAATATCGCCTACTCTATAGTTACGTGTACGTGGCTTTATATACGTATAAATATATGTATACTTGTTTCGTGCAAATTTTGCAGGCTGACAAATGAACTCTGGCTTGTGTATTCTATAATACATAATTTTTATAAATTAAGTATTGCCAGACTATTTAGATTATTTATTTCATGGTAGAGTCAAAAAACTCAAAAATGAGACGAACTCATTCAGGTAAAAGTTTATTGTTACGCTATGATAAGGAAAATGGTTTTTTTGGAAATCTCTAACCATATATTCATCTTTCACAGGCTATGGGTATGAACCAGTACCAAGTACTTCTTATTCTATGGAAGAAGAAAATGATAGAATGACTGCCGAGTTAAGAAGTAAAATTGGCACATTAAAGTCACTGTCAATTGATATTAGTACAGAAGTTAAATATCAAGATCGAATGCTTCGAGATATGGTTAGTAATATTAGTAATAAAAATGGATTACCATCAGCTTTATGAATCAAGATATCTTATATTTTTTGAATTACGACTTATGAGCGTATTTTATACAGAAAGACAAACAAGTTTCTATTATTGTTCAGCTTTCACGAGTTCTATAAATATTATTTTTTAGGATGATGATTTTGAAAGAACAGATGGATCACTTCGTGGATCACTTGCTCGAGTATTTAGGTTGTCAAAAGGAAATCACAACTATTATATATTATACACTTTTTTTATTTGCTT